CTGGCTCGACCAGGCTGGATCAGCTGAGCAAGGTTTGGGGAGAATCCTATAGCAGGATCTTCAGATATTTTGACGGATGACCAAAATCACCCCGTTTTTGCCCATTTTCCTAGGGGCGTGCTGTGAATAAACAGTGCTTAATGGGGCTATCGGGCGCGCGTTTGCCCGGACAAGAGACGAGCGGCTCCTTCGGGCCAGACTATGTTCACAACGGTGGGAGGCCAACCTCTAGCCATGTGAACCAAAAAGAAAAAATATATTCTCAAAGCCAGTCAGAGCACCGTCCAAAGGCGGGTGCTGTCGACTAAGGGACAATCTTGTCTGTCGACAGCCGAACTTGTGATGGGACACCCTCGGAATCCAACTGCGTACTACTTGGCTAGCACGCTATTGGCATACCGACGGCTAAGGCCGAAATCGGTTCACACCTGCTCTTGCAGGTGTGAACACAAAGGATTCGCTGTATCTACTCAGCTGCTCCGCTTACACTTGCCTGTGAAGTGTGAACAGCGGATTTTGAATCAGCGTTCTCCTCGAACGATATCGGTGTCGAAACACCGCTCTGACAGCGCTCACAGCTGAGCGGCCGAGCGGGTTCTTCTTCACAACCGTAGCCCCACCAGCTGGGGCGTTTGACCGTGCGACCGCCCATCGACACGTGCGACCGCGGGGCGCCACGCCTCAAAATCTCCCCATGTCCAAGCTTCGCACATTCTCGAGGCGAGCCGCTCCGGAGGACGGCGGCTCGCCTCCGCCCGCGGCCGTGCCGCGTGTCCGTCCCAAGCCGCCGCCGCCCAAGCGCGGCCGCGGCGGTGTGGGCAGCGGCGGAGGCAGCCTCAAGTCGCTCGCGCGCCGCGACCAGGCGTGGCGCTCTTCGACGGTGGACGACCTCGAGTACGCGCTCGACGGCCTCTCGCGCGGCCGCGGCGAGCTCGTGCGCCGATCGGCGAGCGACGTGGTCGGCGTGTGCGCGCCGGCGCTGCAGCTGGGCAGCGCGCGGGCGGCATCGCTGCTCTCGTCCTGCGGCGCGCTGCTCACGCTCGCGCGCGGGCTCGCCGCGACGGCCAGCGCGGACCCGTTCGTCTCGCTCTGCGTCGCCACGCTGCTGCACGCCCTCAGCCAGGTGGAGCCCGAGCCGGCGACGGCGGTCCACATCCTCGAGGCTGCGCTCGGGCGGCTGCGGATGTCGTGCGCGGCGCTCGACGCGAGCGGCGCGCCACCGACGCCTCCCGGCCCCGTCGGCGTCGCGCGGCAGGGCTCGGAGCTCTCCACCACGGAGCTCGTCCAGCTGGCGGAGCGGCTCCGCGCGCTGTCGCCTCTCGCGGCGGAGCTGCTGCCGGAGGCGGGCTCTGCAGAGGCGGGCTCTGCAGAGGCGCTCGGCGCAGCGGCGGCGCCGCTCGTGCGGCGGCAGTGCCTCGCAAGCGTCGCCGCGATGGTGGGGCGCTCCTCCCGCGCCCGCGCCGCCCTCGTCCGGTCGGGAGGCGTGCCGAGCCTCATCTCGCTACTCGCCCGGCTCTCTGGAGGCGGAGGAGAGGGCGGAGGCGGCGGAGGCGGAGGAGAGGGCAGAGGCGGCGCTGCGGGCGGTACTGCGGGCAGAGGGAGCGGCGCTGGCGGAGGGCGCGGCTCGGGCGCTGCGGGGGGCCGCAGCAGTGGCCGCAGGGCGGGAGGCAGCTGCAGGGGCGGCCGGGGCGGCGGGGCGGCCAGGGGGGCGGGCGGGGCGACGGCGGCCGGAGAGGAGGGGGGGGGCGGCGCGGCGGCACGACTGGCGGCTGCGGCGGCCGAGCTGAGCCTCTGCCTCGAGACGCTGCAGCAGGCCACCTTCGACATCGACACCTCCGGAGATGCGGCCGGAGACGACGACGAGCCAGGAGGGAGCGGCAGCGGCGGGGAGGAGGAGACGGCGAGCGAGCCTGGCAGCGGGACTCCTCCCGAGGCGAGCCTGGCCGAGCCTCACCCTCACCCTCACCCTCACCCTCACCGTAGCCCCATGGCACTGTCGACTTAGACAGCCACGGAGATGCGGACGGGGACGACAAAGAGCACAGGAGGGAA